ATTCATAAGATTGTTTATTTACACTATTTAGAGTCTGTCTATATTTCTGAGATGAGGTATTATGTACATTATTTACATTATTCGGACTATTGTCCTCATCTTTGTCGCCATATTTATCACAACGTTTCGGCTGTTGTACGCTCCGGAAGAAGGTGGTTGGAATGTCGAACTGAACCCTTTATTTCGCTCACTGGGGTAGACTGTTCTAGTTCCACGTGCCATGTTTGATGGATGTCAGCTATCAGTTATCTCCTGTTAATTTCCCTCTGAAAGTTCTCCACTGCCGGGTATTGAATTCACACTCTTTGGGTCCTGTCACTGGATCTAACCAACGCCTTTATTCACTGTGCCAGTTCAATACCATGCAAGCTATTTGTTCCCAATTAAAGCTAAGGATGTATTGACTATCCTTTCCGTGTAAATCAAGCTTTCCTAATATTTTAAACAATTTTTCATATTGCACTCAATCAAATGCCTTTTCGTGAAGGAGAAAAAGAAATCGAATAGAGAATAAGCCTGTGACAGAGGTAGCTTGGATCAACACCACAAACTGCTCCGAATCCAGACATCAACCTGAAAATTTTTGTCGTGTTCTTAAATAGCTTCGTTCGATCGAAACTTTGATGGGGATGTCATACATGACGCCAGGCCAAGTCAGAAATATCTAAACTGTCAACTGCATATAACCGCTTTTCTAAGATCATAGATGGAAAGAGGATTTGAGCGAGTAAATTCTGAGGGTCTTGACAAAGATTATCGTGATTTGAACCTTGTGGTCTGGCGCTACAGAATCACTTACAAAGAACTGTACTAAATAACAGAAACCACATCACTAGAGGACTATCAACAGTGACTAAAATGGATGCCACATGTAGCTCGAAGAGAAAATAATGATGTAATCAAGATGCTAATATTCCACACTACTTCAAACAAAAGGTTAGGAAGGAAACCTCTATCAATACTGAAAAGGGCAATAACAGCTACTGAATTTGAGAAACCTGTTTTCCTAAAAATTGTTTTAAGAGAAAGATTTTATAAATTTCCACCGACAGCAGTACTGGTTATTCGGTCAATAAATGCCAAATGTTTCCTTATAAGGAAACGGCTAACATTACCATTACGAGGAAACATAATCATATATCTTCTTGGTTTGTATTGCTCGTTTTGATAGTATTATGATCCTAAGTATCCCATTTTTCGTTCCAGTGCCATAAACAAATATTATATACAATATTCAGACCAGAACACAGACAAGTGCGACACAAGGCCAATCTAGAGGAGGTGTTAGTATGAAAAGTTCAAATTTGGTCTCGTCTATGTGTGGCACAAGGTGACTCGAGAGGTGGATATATTATGAAAAGTTCAGTCAAGAACTAAAATAAAGCGAAAGTACATTAGCAAACATGGATTCGATTAAGAGTTATCTAAACGTAACACAAGATCATTCTAGAGAAGATCATATATAATACGAGAACCTATACCGAAACATGTGTGACACAAGGTCACTCGCGAAGAGAAAGTGATATAAAACGTTTCATCCCAAGATAACGGCCGCCAATAATAAATGTCTAATAGATTCAAGTATTTCTTTTTATGTGCTGTGTCCCTTCAGGACGTAGGCGATCATGGCTCTCCACTTCTCCCTATCACTTGTGGCTCTCAATAAGTTTCGTGCCTTTGCCACCTCCCACAGATCACGTTCTGCCATCCACCCGCCAGGTATGTCATGCATTGCTTTCCCTTGTCTCTTTTTCCCTCTATTCGACCTGTGAGTATCAGATTCTCCGGACCTCCTTTCTTGTTACCTGCTTATCCAATAATCTGCTGATAAAAAGAAACATCTTTATCTTACACCTATTTCAGGTACTTGCTTAACTGTTGAAACTTGGATAAGCATGGAATAATAATAATACAACACAAAATGTACGTAAACAAAATGTATTGAAACAAGGAAAAGGTACACAATATTTACAGTTAGTTTTGGTATATTCTTGGGAAGACTGTTCCTGCAGAATGCGTTGACTAAATCGCAGTCGGGCAGAGTCTCTCGATTCGATCTCTTCTTCTTACTACTCCCCCCCCCGTCTTCCGGTACCAACCCATATTTATATGGTCGGTACTCCACTTATGTAAATTAGGTGTATCGTACCACAACATTAACTCATTTCCTATCTGCATGCAGGCGGTTTTTTCACAGTAAATGTTGCGGACCTTTCTAATATCTTTCCTATAAAAATCGAGCTTCCCTAGCAGTTCAAATAAGTCTTTGGTTCGTAGCTTAATTATTGCGCTTGCCTAATATATGAAGCATAAGTATAGACCTTTTATTCCATTTGTATTTCTCGTTCTTTCTTTCTGTTTACAGTGAGGTTCACCCCGTGCATGGCCTGAGGGGCACTCGAGGTAGAGTGTTACAGAGTACGAGGCAAATTTTATGCGGATATTTGGGGGAGATAATGGTTAACCCCAAACTTGATCAGGTTAAGATTGCAGTGATCGGGGAAACATCCTCTCGAGAGTATTTTCCACAAAGCAAGTGATTACACGGGAGGAGCTGCTCATTTTCTCACAAATAGGGAATGAGGCAAAAGCGCGTAGCCGATTAGGACTGGTAGAACAAAGGTAGTTAATCAGAGCTTTCTATATCAGTAGCGATAGAGTTGTGAGATAGGGGGTGTAGGATGAGAAATAATTTGTCACCTGCAAGGAAACTTGAAAGTGAATTGACATCCTAACCAAATGCGTGTAACATTTTAACTTTTAAAGCTCTTGCATGGGATGCGTGTAACAAACTTTACAAGATTTGGCGCTCGAACCTTCCATCCTTTTTAAAAGTCCAAACCTTTCGAACACTGAAGGAACAAGTTCTATTATATGACTCAGAAACTTGGACATTATCTGTTCGCCTTGAAAGACGACTGGATGGAGCATATGCAAATCTGTTAAGAAAAATCCAGAGCATCAGTTGGAGATTCCACGCAACGCTTAACACGTTTTTACGGAGAACTAAGATCAATCTCTCTTAAGCTCAAACAAAAAGCGATTACAGTTTACTGGCCACAGCCACCGAGTGGAGAGGGAGGTCGTCTCATCCTTACTTCTTTGGTATCCTTTTGGAGGTGTCTTCTCGCGAAAGTTGACTTTCCCAGACGCCATAATTCGGGACCCAGGGTAAGACATTGGGGATCTAGGGACGGCGATGCAGGACCGAGGGATTGTTAATGGAGTTATGACCAACCACAAGGAGGTCGAAAGATGATGATGATAATGATGAAAAGTAGAAGATACCACGTGTCATGTACTTATTGGAGCGATACGGGAAACCGACCATTTTCCAGCCTCTTTAACGATGGATTGTATGTCCGGGTTCAAATTGAGGGCCGGGTTGAGTTTAAAACTCAATGGTCTCTCAGTGGAGTAATGGATAGCGGCTCAGATTGAGGAATCGGAGAGACGAGTTCAAATCCTAGTTAAATCTATTACATACCCTTACCTACCTGGGAAAGGTATGAATCCTCTTCTTCTCCTCCTCCACCCCCAGCTGTGAGCAAGTAGTAAGATAGAGTCGGTTCTACAGCCTTAGGTGGCTTCTAGAAGATTTCTGAATTCAAAACGGGCCTGAAGACGGTTGGGCTCTGTCAGACTATCTTACCCAAGAAAAATCACTTCTAGTGTACATATGGTACCCTCTACGGATCACGGGGCGAGGGAGTATTTCAAGGCACTGGTACCATTCTTATCATAAAAATAGCATTCCTTGTTCTAGTAGCTTTAACTAAGGCGCATTTTTTTGCGGAGGGTGGGGGGTTCTGGTGTAATTCTGCTACGAGCACAGTTAATTAGAATTCTAACTCTTAATATGCAAATGCGTCGCAGAGAAATGGTGGAACTGCTAGGTAACCCCTTGACATATGTGGGAAGGACATTAGAATAATCCAGAACCCGTACTGGCAGCAAACCACCTCCATATAAATAGGAAAATGAGTTCAGTAAATATTCAAAAACAGAAAGGGGGTGTAAGACAAGGATGTATCTTCTCACCAGACGGTTTCAAGCAATACAGCAAGGCTATTCTGAGAGAATTAGAAGGTTGATTTCTCATCTTCAGCTACTTTGGAAATGCTTCGGACCTTTCTAATATCTTTCCTATAAAAATCGAGCTTCCCTAGCAGTTCAAATAAGTCTTTGGTTCGTAGCTTAATTATTACGCTTGCCTAATATATGAAGCATAAGTATATGACCTTGCAATGTATGCGTGTAACAAACTTCACAAGATTTGGCGCTCGAACCTTCCATCTTTTTTAAAAGTCCAAACCTTTTGAACACTGATTGAACCAGTCCTACTGTATGGATCAAAAAATTGGACATTATCTGTTCATCATGAAAGACGACTAGATGGAGCATATACCAATCTGAAAAATCCAGAACATCAGTTGGAGATCCCACGCAATTCCTGTTTGTCCTCTCCTAACCTAATGTGCTACAGGTCATACAAGATTTTCAAAGTATTTTTGTTGTTGTTGTTTTGATTTTTAGTTTTTTGTTTTTTTGTTTTTTTACCGAGATTAATGTAATTTTATTGATAGTTCTTTTAATGTCCTTGTTCATACTATACTAAGTTTGTGTATACTATAGATTTTATTCTTCCATTTGGTGTTGAAGGCAAACATATTTCCATAATATTTAACGTCGGTTTCCAAAGCTATTAAACTACGCGGTCTAACTCCAGTATTAATGTCAAGTCCTGATATATTGGAGTTAACAAGAAGCATAACAAAACAAATTCAAAATGGTGCCTTAATTGTTCATCTTACGTCATTTATAGTGTTTTTTGTTTTGTTTTGTTTTTTTGATAATAATGATTTACTGATAGAAGGTAGATTCATGCCTTTTCCAATTCGTATTTGCGCGCAAGTGAATATAACCCAAGTGGAATTGAAACTCGACCCTCTGATTAACAATTACGAGCTATTATCCATTTCATCACCCGCGCATTCAAGCTTACAGCACTTGGTATTCCCAAGCAGTCACCCACGTAAGTAATGAACATGTTCAACATTGCTTAACTTCGGTGATCGTACGGGGAGAAAAGAAGAGAGGGAGACAGACGAAAGAAAAGAAAAAGAAGAGTAAAAATGAAGACAGTAAAGTAGGCACCTCCACTTTGGTCTTTCCTCTTAATAAAAACAAACATTTTCATGAAAAAACTTTGTTTTTATTAAGTTTGGGGACTTTTTTCATCATGCTATGCTGTTTTTTACGCAACCTAGTGGAGATAGCTACAGTAAAGCCACTAAGACACAAGGGGGTTACTAAATGGAGTCAGACTAAGAATAAGAAAAGGAGAAAAATAATTGAGTAAAAATAATTGATCAAGTAGACAGTAGATAACGATTGCTATTGCACTGTTTGAAGATCAAAGTTGGCTGGAAAGTATAGATTCGTTTTCTACGGTTTATGTTATTTAAAGCCAGGAATTATTTTTAGATTATGTTGTAGCCTGGAGAGGGTTACTGAATAAGGAATAACCAAAACGGAGGTTGGAAATGAAAATGGTAATCTTTATAACATCAACAAAATTCAATACTCGCCAGCGGCGTGAAGTAGGTAAACCACTGCTAGCGGTGGACTACTTAGACAGCATATTACACCCCGCCCCTTACAATAGTATCCAACGTATTTATAAGGGTTGGGACATATCCATTGGTGTTCATAGAAACGGTATATAACAGATTGGGGGGGATTATAATTTAACGATAAAAGTTGTACTAATTAACTCAAAGCTGGATAGAGGAGACGTGGATTCATATCTTTCCCAATGGTATTTGCGTGTAAGTGAATCTAACAAACACAACCAGAATTGGAACTCGACTGTTTGTCAAACGGTCACCAATCTAGACACTGACCAGGCTCGACGTTGCTTAACTTCTGTGATTGTCTAACGCTTTTGTTTTTGCTTATATCTATGTTTTGCTTGCTTCATAATCATGAAAAGAGAATTCTAAAAAAAATCTTTTTATCATCCAATTAACCAACGTTGTTCGGATATATATATATATATATATATATATATATATATATGATAAGTAACAAGTAGGGAAACAGATCTTAATCTAACATGTTTCACTTTATTAAAGCTTCGTCAGAGATCAAGTCAGTCAGTTATGTGCCATACACGCTTAGGCGATCATGTATCTTTTCGGTACATGACTGACGAGGCTGATTTTTTCCCACATTGCGTTGCCATTTCTTTCTGAGGTAGACCAGTTTCCATCCAAGGCTACAGAATCCGGTCTGTCCTGCTATTTACCCAGAGGATTAGCACGTAAGTGAATGTAATGGATTCGACTGAAATTCGAACTCGGGTCTCTGATTCCTCAATCCGAGCCGCTATCCATTACTCCACCGTGCCTCCAGAGACAAAAAAATGATGAAAATCAAAGAGACGGTATGTTGCGTTTGGTTATTTCTTATTGGTTAGATACGTGTCACGTGTAATGAACTAATAGATAATATTCAAATGTGCGTGTCAAAGATTCTAGACGCTAAAGTGTGTAAAAGTTTTTGATTGAATACGTGTCACGTGTAATGAAATAACAGATAATATTGAAATAAATGTCAGAAAATATTCTGGTTGCTAAAATGCGTAAAAGTTAGTGAGACGCTGCAGGATGTTTAGAAAATTTTTTTTGGATTTTTCATTAAAATATATCTCGAGCGTATTTTGTATATATATATTGATTTTTATGTATTCGGAAGAGATAGGTTACATTCATGAGTAATGGATCTGCAGATAAATGGCGATATAATGTAGTGTGTTAACAGTTGGTAATGTTGCTATAAATATATTTTCAAAATATTTTCTCTTTACATATACAATCCTTGTTGAAAACACAACTATACTTAAACACGAAAATAATAAACAAAACTTTAAAATTCTTGAAGCTATATACATAAAACAGTTGAAACCTAACCTGAACAAAATAAGCTATGAAAACTCCTCAAATATTCTTAAATGCCTATAATCTATAACAAAAGCCATTGGTTTATACCAACGGCTTCACATACTTAATACTTCTCGTTTTTCACTGTTGCGTGGTCATGTTTGACGTCACGAGCTACAACGCGTTTTTTGCTTCCGCGTCTCGTATATACGAGTTTGTTGTTGCTTTGAAATATTTCATGCAGCAAGGGAGGACTATCATTATTGTTTCGTCCGTGTGTTGTTTGATATATTGAAATTGTCACCATTGATAATGGCTTATGCAAGCCGAAAGCTTAGATTGGATTTAAACATGTATCAATATGGTGATTTCCTTTCGTCTTTCAACGATAATGCGATTAAGCTTATCAGACAATATGAAAGGAACTTACTTAAAATAAATAGACAAAACTTGTCTATATTATTTAATGAAACATGCATTTATATATATATATATATATATATATATATATATATATATATATATATATAATAAAAAGAAGTAGATGCGTTCTCCTATCGGTCCGGTTCACACTCCTCCCTGGTCTTTGGTACAGGAGTAGAGGTTTATCTCTTGTTTCGCTTAGGATTAGATTTTGAGTTCCTTCTATCTAAAGTCTACTTCAACTCTATACTTCTAATGTCTCCGATGAAACTCAGAAATTTTTTCACTAATTAAAATTCGACCTCTTACCTGTTGTCTTTCTTGGATTGCCTCAAGAACTTCATTACTTGCCCTTTCTTACGCTACCTTGAGTGGCTCTCGGGTCATGTAACATTAGTAAAAAAAAATCATATTCTACCAAAACTAAGTAAGAAGCAGAGTTTTAAAAACCGCCTGTCTAGACAGTTCCATCGCCAGTCATACTGTTATATCCACTGAGATGGAGATTATTAATGTTTAACAAACTATTTACGATTTTTAAGCTAACATTATCGTTACTTAATATTTATGCTTATGTGCGAATCAGCACTGAGTGAAATTATTATAAACGCTAGGACTTTTCTCAGCCCTTCTCCGACGACAGCTTTCATCCAGACCAACCCCACTCGCACACCGTTGCCCGCCAATACGTCTGCACCTCTCCCTCTACAACACCCCCACCCACAACAAAACAAAAACTGAACTTATACTGGGTCCTCAATGCTGGCTCAGCCGCCACGACCCGTCTCCTTACTACCAACGGCGACCCCTACTGTCGTCTTAGGTACAAATCTCTGCTTAGTTTCCACGATGATTTTTAACTTCATTCACGTCAGCCAAGGGAGAAACAGATGGTTTTCTCATTGCGTTTATTGAAGCGAAAATTCATATTAAGTGTTAAATTGAAAGTTTTTGTTCATATCAACTTTTTAAAAATTGAAATTATCGCTATACGTCTTTTTTTTTTATATTGTTACTTTTTGTTTTTTTGAAAGAAAATTATTCTATTTTATTTCTGTGTAAATACGTGCTTTCGAATTGTGTATTTCATTTTTTTATATCTTTATATACGTACCATGTTATATATATATATATGTTCATTCGCTGTGAGAAAAAAAATTATCCGTAGTGGTTGGCAAAGTTTAGTGTGAATTTACACCCGACTTAACACGTTTGTCGACTCAGCACGCCCTGTAAAAGAATTACCGACTGATGACAACGATGCTACGGAGGCCGAGTGTAGATAAAAAAAGTTTTCTCATTCACTTTCTATCTTCTTCTCCCTCTCCGTCTCCTCCTCCTCCTTCTTCTCCTTCTTTCTCTCTTTCTCTACTTTTTTTTAAATTTAGCGTTTTCAATCTCTTTTTTTCGTTTTCCTCTCTAATTTCCTCTTCACGTTTACATTTTTTTTTGTATTTTTTCTTTGGTTTTTTTCTTCTTTTTACAGTCTGTTAAAATTATTTTCTGTTTTCTTAACTTTTTCAATTTTTCCTATCTTTTTTTTTAATTACTTTCTTGTCTTTCCTTCCATCTTTTCCTCTTCGTGTTTTCTTCTTATTTCATTGGGATTTTTTTTTTTTTTTGTTTTTTTTTTTTTTTTTAATATTTTTCATTATTTGCACAGGTCCTCATCTTTGTTGTTGTTATCACAACGTTTCAGCCGTTATGTCCTGCAGCCTTCATCAGGTCTTGTCGATCAAGCCAATCTTCATGGAATTTTTAATTGTCTCAGTGAAAACAGCAATAAGTGAGCAATAGTAAATAAAAACTAAACGAGACATCCCGAGACTTGAGCAGCGTAACGAGGAAAATCTATCTCCGTGGATTAATTAAAGCTTTAATATAAGGGTTATGATCCTAGAGACCGTTACTTGGATTGAGAAGCACCTGATGAAGACTGGACAATACAACGGTCGAAACACTGTGATAATAACAACAAAAATGAGGACAATAGTCCCAGAAATTCACAAAGAAAATAATCGGTCTTAGGTTTTATATCTTCTATTTTTCTTATTATGGTCATTTTTTTTCTTTCTTTCTTTTATGCTTTCTTTTTTCTTTCCCTTTTCCTCTACAAATCTTTTTTCTTCCTTTCTTTCTTTTTTCTATTTTTTCCTTCTCTTCTTTTTTTCGTTAATCATTTTCATTTATTTTGCTTTCATTCTCCTTCTCCTTTGCATTTTCTTTTTGTTTCTCTCTCGCTCTTCGATCTTTTCTTCTTTCTTTCTTTCTTTCTTTCTTTTTTTCTTTCTTTCTTTCTTTCTTTTCCTCCTCTTTTCTGCTTTATCTATCTTTTTTTCTTTTCCTTATTGTTATGGTCCAGTTCCTTGTACCACGATGATAGACCAAGGTAGAACCAATAAAGAAGAACTCGAATACAGGGATGGAATAACACAGATATATTACAAACAGGAATATATACAGAGAAGTAGAAGTGTTAGTACGAACAATCAGGTTTAGTAGAGAGAACAATGTAGTCTCGACCAGTATCACTATTCCAATGTCTTGTAGTAATTGTCTGAACGTGACTCTGTTTCGGACTGCCTCTGACTCGACTCTTGACTCGACTTTAACTACTGACTCCACTTGAACTACTGACTCTGCTGACTGACAATATTCAGTCACCCCACGATGGCGTCATGTGGCACAAGGCCTTTTTAACGTGGGCTCGGCCAAAA